CAATATGAGTTTACCATACTTTTGTCTAGTACGACCTTTATGTTTACTAACCTTATTTTTATGTTGCTCTAAGTAAATTTATTTCCACCAAAATTCCAAATCAATTAATCCCAGTTCATTTATGACTCTATTGAATTTAAAAGAAGTTCTAAAGCTAATTATAAATCTTCTTTTCCTTTTCTTTTTTGGCTTAAAAGCATGTTGAAGTCACTAGCAAACAATCATGGTAGATTTATCCACTGTCCAATAAATTGAAACTTAACTAAGAACGAATTTTTCAGTGACTTCAAATGTAAAATCCAACTAAGAGCATCATTTTCATCCAAAATAACAACATTAATAAAATTTTTATTAGTAAAGAAAGTTGAATTTTTAGCGAGTGTTTTCAGGTTAAACACAACCCTCTTATTTTTCTTGAAAGCTACACACACTTATTAAAAAGAGAGATGTAAGGTACAATTATTAGAAAGAAGACTAGAGCTAGTAACAAAAAAGAATATAGATTTTCAAGACTATGTTATGAATATAAACAAAAATAAAGTTTAATGATATAGAAAAAAAGGATAAATATCTCACATATAACAAAATGCTAAAGGCAATAGAGTGAAAGTATTCTCATATATTTTGGAAGTGATTTGATAATAAAAAATAGATTAAGAGAGTTATTAACATTTTGAAAAAAAAAATCATTTGGTCGTATATATAAACTAACTGAAATACGATATCTTAATAATAATATATAACAAGAGCAAAATTCACAACTTGTTTTCACACTCTTATAAAAAGTAGTAAAAGTAGTAATCATCTAGCCACTAAATAGTTGATGACTAGAACTACTTTTGTACATGAAATTTTTTTAATTGTATTTTTGGATATGTCTGTACTTTTTTATTATTTTAAATTAGAATTAGATAATCATCTTTCTAAAAACACCCAAGAAAAATTAGTTATCACATTTCGGTAATTAAGTTAGCTAAAGTGTTGTAAAGTTTGATCATTATTGGTTATTGTAAGTACCATATGCATAAAGGTAAATAAGTAAATAGCAAAAGTGATTGAAGATTTTGATTTGAGACATTTGAAATTAAGAGGTTGTAACAAAAAGGATACAACTAAAAATAAAAATATATATTATATATTACAAGAGAGTAAGTAGCCCTTAGCTTGCCATTTGGCACCAATGGTTAACCAAAAAATTGAAAAAAAAAAAAAAAAAGAAAAAACTTTGCCCCCAAGAAACCACAAAGCAATTACTTATCATTTTAAAATCTCCATGCATTATTGTTTTTCTCTTTTAATCTTGTTAGGAAACTGTTATTATCCAACGCATGTGTGTGTGTGTGTGTGTGTATATAATATATATATTGATATAAAATAAAGTTGCTTTCATGTATCACGTACAAAATAATTTTAAATATAAATTCCTTTGATGAGTGTATATATATATATATATGTTTTTTTCTTAATATGAATGAAAATAATTAAGAATGAGACTATTGACGCAAAAGATTTACAAAAAAATTATCTAAAGAAACTCCAAAGTTTCCATATATATATATATATATATAATATTTAGCCTAATAAGACATACATATGTGTACGTGTTTGTGTTTTACATTGAAAAAACAAATAACCGTGGTAGAGAGTATACGATTAATTTTTTATATTTATATGCGTGTTTTATATTCATGATAGTATATAAAATTGTATATTTGGGAAATACGTAAAATCTGAAACAAACAGAAAATGGTTTAAAATTATACAAAATTTTTAATTTCATTATTATATGTAAATTATCATATTAAACTCGAAATAATAGTTCTTTAATAAAAAATAATTATTATTTTTATTTATTACGCCCCCTCCCTCTCAATTATTAAAGCAGCACCGTTTTGGTTTTGGAAGACGAGATTGAGACTGGTCCACTGAAAATGGACATGGCTGCCCACACGCTTCATATACTTATATACATATATAGATATATCTATATCCTTCACTTTTTTATTCAGTAAATCCCTTTGTTTTTGTATAATTTAATTAATAATAGTTTTAATTTATGTGAAGTTGAAATACCAATTTATTTAACATAGTTAATTGTTCATTTCATTCACCGAAATGTGCAAAAATATTAAATTGTTTATATAATTTTTAATGTTATTAATCTCTTGCGATAGATGAAATAGCTTCTTTATTTATAATTTTCTTTTCGTATTTTATTAGTTTTTTTTTTTTAAATTTTAGATTCAAATCTTATAAATAAAGAATCCCGATGGTGATTTTATTATATTTTATTAAAAATCTAAATTTGTATACTGTGACAATAAATCTCAAGTATAGATATTTCAACCCTTTTTGTCGTAATGATGATAAGTATATAGTATTCAGATAAGACAAATTTCTTTCAGCTGTATTGGTATATATGTGTGTCTCTGTGTGTGTGAGCCAAAAATGTTATGTAACTCTAGTATAATATAATATAATATATATATATATATATATATATATATGATACGATCGATTCAAGTAATTTCTGTAGACATTTGTGTTCGAATTTCAACCAGGTGGTTGATCTATAAAAGTTGAATATAATTAATTTCTACAGACGCCCAAAAATATTTGCACTATATGATAGATACGTCAAATTATTGATACCTATAATTATATATATATATATATATGTCACCTTAACTCTTACGCATATTTCTTGTCCATAAGTTAAAGTCCATCAATTAAGTTTCTGAAATTGCATGATTAAGCTCGATCCTTAAGAATTTTGTATTCAATTAAATCCTCAAGTTATTTTTCTGGTGCAATTAGAACCAATTATATATATATATATAATTAAACAATGTTATATATATATATATGTATACACAAAGCTAGATCATATTGTCATTATCACATTATGCCACATCATTAAGTAATTTATTGATTAGATGTATGTACTATAGTAAATTATCAAGTAATTTTATTGTTGTTATTCTACGTTATTGTATTCATGCAGATTTCAGTGGAACAGTCCATTATTAAATTTAATCATTCATATATATATATATATATATACATATTCTCAGTTTCTTTGTTGTTGATTATCTTTATTGATTGACTCATTCTTTGAAGGAAATTAATGCAATGAATAACATCAAAAAAATTCTCTAGAGAAAAAAAAAAACCTTTATCTTTACCTAATTAAATATGATTAGCATTTAGTTTAGGAATAGTGTGGATTTAAAGTATACCCATAATTAGCTTGTTAATACTTTTCCATGTTCACGATTTAAATGGATCAAGGACATAATTGAGGACCCCATGCATGCATGCATCTTTATTTAATCCATAATAGGAGAGCTCCAAATATGTACACATGTACATATATATATATATATACATGCCACTTAAATAATTGGTAGACACAGAATATTTAAATTGCTTTTATTTTTCTTTTCAATTTTTTTCAGGTGACTCTGAATTCAATCCCAAAAAGTAAGAAGGGACAAACGTACATAAATTGAATTATGGGGAACCCAAAAGTATACGTGGAGAAGTTTCCACTTAGTATGTTTTATTTTGTCTAAATAAAATATTTTTATACATTTTGATGTAATTTTTATTAGTAAAAAAAAAAAACTTTTATTATTAAATTTAATTAATTTTTTTTACTAATATAAAATATTATAACTAATATTTAATTAAATTTAATATTAATAGTAACAAGGTACTTAATAATGTATTAAATTTTTTTTAAAAAAATTCATTTTAAACATTTAATAATATATATATTTATTTTGATGTTAGAAAAGGGGCAGTAGAGCTCCAATTAAGGTTCACTTTAAACTTAGTGGAATCACATCATTAATGAGGACGTAAAAAGTGGAAGTAGTGGGTGTGGCTGTAAAACCCATTTCAATATTCAATTCAAATAAGTCACAGTTTGCATACTTCACTTTCCTCTTTCCTTTTTTTTTTTTTTTTTTTTTTTGGTGTGGTTTTTTTAATCTTAACCTTTAAAAAATGGAAATTTGGTACGACTACACATTAAAACTTTCATTACAAAATGGCTTGTAAATTAGCTATATATTAATCCATCATATACAATTATACATTTAATTATCGTAATAATATGTGCATGTGTAATTTTCTTTTGTTTATGAATGTAAAAATATGCATGCATTTTCGATGGGAAGAAACGAGAATGACTATACCCAATTATAGTGTTTCAATTTATTAATTTCATATGTGTGTGTGTGTGTGTATATATATATATACTATATAATATTTGGTCAAAGTTTCACAAAAGTGTATGCGAATTAATTTAATTAATAAAAATATTACTCGGTTGTTATGCATATATAGAATTTATATTTTAGTCCAGACATAATATATTTATAAATTAAAATTGTATTTGATTTAATCTTCATTTATTTTTATTTGGTTTTGATTTTGTTTAATATTCATATTAAATTAAATTACTTAGATAAAAAATAAAAATAAAAATCTCAGAAATCAGGATTAAGATGTTTATTTTCTACATATAATTAATTAAATTTTATTTTATGTTGTCAAATATGAATATTAGAAAAAAGAAATTGTTTATTAAGTATAAAATAAACAATTCTAAACATTCTCTTACATAAAAACATATATAAAAAGAACAAACATCACAAAACTATTTTTAAAAACTTATTAAAAGAAACATATTAATTATAAGAAGTTGCTTAAAAGTGCTGATTAGCCATAAAAAAACAATTCATACACCCTCTTAATTTTATTTATAATCTTTTTTATTCATTTAATTAAATAATTATATGAGATGATAAATTCAAGTGAAGCTTACATTAAAAATTATATTACAATTAATGTATTAAAATTTATTGTTTAAAATCTCTTAACTTTTGTACGTAGCTACAACTGTTGAAATAAAAAAAAAAACCCACCAAACATGTTTTCTACGTAATTAATCGTGGTTTCCAACTTAAACGTATTATTAATTTTTAATTAAACAACATTGATGCAAACATTTTATTGATTTATATATATGTATATCATATAAAAATTTGAAGAAGGAAAAAAGAAAACCTCCAGAATCCATTACATCTCTCCAAAATCATCAAAAAAAAAAATAAATAAAAAGAAAAGAAAAGACAAGGCGAGAGAAAATTAATTAAGATTTACTAAACCCTAATTATCCAAATTAAATAATTAATTAGAAATATCCGTTAATCGCTTCTGCAGCTTCAATTCTTTATAAAACCTCTGAATGAACTCCTCAGCAGCTTTATCAACATAACCGTTGTCCTCATCCTCAACGTCTCTTAACGGAAACGGCGAGTCCGTTATCCTCAGCGGCCTGACCAACGGCGTGAGTCGACCAAACCCCGGCAAGACAGGTGACGCCGTCATCATCTCCTTCACTTGACAGTCATTGTTGCTAGAAATGGCGTCCTCTTCGTCTTCGTTGACTGTCTGGGCTCCGGCACAGGCGAGGAAGTGGTTTTTGAGCTTAATTTTGATGTTGGGAGGTTGTAAAGATGCAGTGAATGTGTAGGCAGGGGTGTTCGTGCAGCTGAACTCGTAGTCACGGGGGATTCCGGAGGATGCGGCGGCGACGGCGGCGGCCAAGGAGGAGGAGGAATGGTGGTGGTAGATGAGATTAGCAATGGCTTTGGAGCCGGCGATCTTGCCGCGTTTGAAAAGCATGTTGAGATGGAGCATGGGATTGGTTTTAGGTAAACCTTTTCTGACCATGAAGAGAATTACACGTACAATACTCCATATTCTCTTGGCCATTACTGGTGGTACTGCTAGGTTTTCTTCCATTGATTTTCTTCTTCTTTTTCTTTTCTGTGAAAGAGAGAGAGATGGGAATTTTCAATTTTGGGTGGGGAGAGGGAGAGCGAGAAGGTGGTATTTAAAGTGATGAAATGAAGGTGGGTATAAATTAGTTTAAAGTGTTGGAGATGTACAAGAGTAACACATGGGTGCACCCATATTTTGTGCTACTTCCTCATTATATCTATGTGTGTGTGTGTAATTTTTTATTTAACATTGATATTGCAAAAAATTATTAATTTTTGATATGGGTATTTTGTGTTACTTTGTTATAATATACATCCGTAATTTTTTACTTATTCATATTGTGAAATTATAAAGGCATTTTTAAAATTAGTATTTTATTATTTTATATAGTTGTAATTTATTATTTGATAATACTGTGATATTACATAAAATTATTCAACATTTAAGGAACATAGATAAATTTGTAAATTTTATTATATAATTCTTCATAAAAATTTAATATACAATAAGTATAGTTATAAAATTTGACAGCTCATATGTTTTCCTAGAGTAGCTAATAGTTATTCTATGATTGGGTGGTGACGTGGCTGGTTAGGAGCTTCCAACGGCACTTTATCTTCGTTGTTAAGGCAGAATGTCGCTTCCGGTAGCCGGTTTCCTGCAATACAAAAAAGAAAAAAGAAAAGTAGTATTCCATTTTCAGCTAAATAAAAAATAATAGTTGTGATATACAAAATCACTTTTAGTTCCACTTGATTAGGCAGATTAAGTAAGGGAAAATCAGTAAACGATTTAAAGATTTAAGCCCTTCAAATAATTTATTTAAATTAAATTAAACTCCTTTCCTATGTTTTTAATTCCACCAAATGGTCAAACTAACTATATACATACATATAAGTATATATCAATTAATTTAATAATAACATAATGTGACTTAATTATATATATTTTTTATTTTATCATAAATTATTGAAGATAAAATTTGTAGAGACTAAATAATAAAGTTAACCAAATACTAATGAAAAATTGTCAATTTTCATCATATACTTTTTTTTTTTTTGATTCATATTTTATCTGTTACTTTCAACTTTGAGTCAAAAATTTTCAAACCTATCAACATTAATATAAACCATTTATGCATCTCCATTTGGTGTTACATGGCATTGCATTTTTGTAGGGTTTAAAACATTTGACAAGAACGAATTGCCACATGAGTATCTATATCAAAACCAACTTAAATGGGTGGGTTGAGACCTTTCAACCCTGACATTTTCCCTCAAGCTTCTTTTTCTTTATCTACAACATTGTCCCCAAAGATTTGACAAACTTTAATATTTGAAAAACTCTAAAATTCAATAACTATACATGTATTGTGCTACTTGGAAGTTTGGTTTGCTGAAAATGTCACCGACTTCATCGAAAAGGACAGGCTCCGCGATAACCTTCCACCTTTCTTTTTTTGTCGATAAGTTGTTGAAACTCCAAGGAGTAAAACTCGCTTGGAGACTTTTAGATTTTATCTAATGAGCACATACTGATTAACTATGTGACTTTTAAAATAAAATAATAAAAATTAACTATAAAGTTAGAATAGTTTTTCTAAAAGTTCTTAGGCACAAAAAACAAATGTAGAGTTGATTGGGAGGGGGGGGGGGGGGGGTATATACTTAGCAACCAAAAACTTGATTGGCAAATAACTAGATTGATGTTAGTTCTATGGTAACCAAGAACTAAAACCAAGAGTTTAGCAAATGCTTCTGAAATTGTGATGAACATCACAATAATATGGGTTGATGTTGAGTCAAACTCTAACAATTATTGCTTTTATTAACCAAAAATGTTTAATACACTTACACATAATTTCTTCAAGAGCCTAATCTAGGACAAACTAGTTTATGCCTTCAAGAACTATATCAGATTAGCTATTCAAGGACAACCCAATTAGTTTAAGCAATCGTAACATATGATCTAGGGCACATATTTTTAAACATGTATGTTCTTCAAATAGCACAATTATTATTTACCTTCAAGAATTGTAATAGTGACCTCGTTTGAAGAAAATATGTTTTGATTCATAGGAGAAAAGTCTGTATTATTCAAGGCATTCTGCCTTTTAATGCATGCTGACTATTTTTAATTAGGAAGATCTACATGTTAGAAAATTTTTATTCATTGTAAATATCAAATCGTAATTTTGCATAAACCTTGATCTATAAATGATGCTTGAACTATCTTGATAATTGCTTTGTGGACAAATTGTTTGAGTGTCATAATCTTGATCAATAATTACATATTAAAAAATAACTAATTGAGTGCAAAATTTGTAAAATAATCAAGTTTCTCTCTCTTGACTTTTTAAAGTATTTTTACATATTTTTTTCAACAACTTCTATCTTTAACTTGACCTTTATTTATAGGACAACTTATGTCCTTTCATAAAAGATCATGTCTTTTCATGATGGAGAGGAGACGATTCTAATGGGTAGATGGAGGACTTAATTGCTGCTTAAATTACTGCTTATTGCCGTTATTTTTATATACACACACTTTCTATTAAAATGTGAAAATTGACCTATAGTAATTTAATAGTTCCTTGTATGGGCACATAAAATATTGACTAACATTCTCCCACTTAGCTCCTATGATGTCATATAACTTTATGATTTAATGGTAAATATAACATTGTATCATAAATCATATTTTTAGTGGTATTGGCTAAATTATAAATTATCATTAAGTAGAAACTAATAAGGATCATAGCGATTGTACGTTCCTATCTAGGCATATTCATTTCTATGTATCACAATATTAATTATTACTTAATATTAATTGCTATGAGAAATATTATAATGGTCCATTCAAAGACAAATACTTTTAATATTCATATATAGACTACCATAAAAAAACCATGATAGAACAAAATATATTAGAAATAACAATTAAATAACCTGAAAATGGTAGATACATATAAAAAGTAAAAAATTTCACTATAACTTAAAACATTATCATAATGTCAATAATGATTTTTCAATAGTGCCCTCTCTGATATTGTCTTTAAATGTCTTTAATGATAGTCCTTTTGTTAAGGAGTCTACAACCATAAGATTGTTGTTTTTGTGCTCGATTGACCCCCTTTGTTTATGAACTTATTCTTTAACACCCTTTATTTCAATTCCATATGTTTAACATCCTTTGAATACTTTTTATTTTTAGAAAATAAGATTATTGTGACATTATTATAATCAATTTTTAGTATCTCGACAATACTTTCAACAATTCCAAGTGTTGAAATGAAGTTTTGTAGCAATAATTCATGAGACATAACCTCAAAGCATGTTATAAACTCAGAATCCATAGTGGATGCTGCAATGACAGACTATTTCCTAGTTTTCCATGAAGTCACTACTCTAGCTAGGAATAAATAATCAAATATAGTTTTATAGTATACAGACATTTAACATAATTTAAATCTAAGTAGCTTACAAATTTATAATGATTGGATCTCCTATAAGTGAGCATATGACATTTTGTTCCTTACACGTATCTTAATGCTTTCTTTGTAGCTTTACAGTGATCCAATCTTAGGTTATTGTGATATATGCTTAGAATTTTAATAGTAAAATTGATATCGGCCTGGTATAGGTTTGAACATAAATAAAGCTCTTAGATAAATGCATAAAAAATTTGTTCAATTTGCCTACGCTTCAATTAAATATTTAGAAATTAAATTTTTCTCCTTTATGAATTGGGACAACTTGCTGAACATGTTTTGATCTTAAATCTCTTAAAAACTTCATTAACACATGTTTTCTAAGACAATCTTAACAATCCTTTCAATTCCAATCATATAGGATACTTCACCTATATCTTTTACTTTGAAGTTGTTAGAGAGATACTTCTTAGTCTCATGTAATAAGCTAATATCACTATTGACAAGCAAGATATCATCAACATATAAAATTAAGAACTTGCTCCTGTTGATATTTAGATATATACACCATCAACCAGTGTTTTCTTTAAATCCAAAGGAAGTAATAATAAAATTAAACTTAAGATACCATTATTGAAAAACTTGTCTAAGTCCATGTACTGATTTCTTAAGCTTACACTCCATGTATTCTTTTCCTTCAATTGAGAAACACTCAAGTAGATCTATATAAAATTCTTCCTCTAAATTTTCATTCATAATGATGGTTTTTACATCCATTTGATGAAGATCTAAGTCATAATGGGCTAGCATTGCCATAATAATTCTCAATAAATCTTTTTTTTAGGGGCAAAAGAAAACGTCTCCTGTAGTCAACTCCATCTTTATGAGGAAAACATTTAGCTATAAGTCTAGTCTTGTATTGTTTATTATTTCTATTAGAGTCACATTTGGTCTTAGACCTATTTACACCAGATTCTTTTATAACCTTAAAGTAATTCAACAAGGTCTTAGACTTTATTATAATACATCAATTTTAAATCTTCATCCGTAGTGTCTAACCACTTAATAAAATTAACACTTTTTATGCTTATGAAAGTAAAATTGAATCTTCATTAATTCCTAAGTTAAATATAATCTTGTAGATATACTAAATAATCATTCAAAATAGTAGGTTTCATTTGTCGTATAAACCTTCCTAGTACTACTTAATTTGGTTCATCCACTATAAGTTCATTTACAATAATATCATCGTGGGGTGCTTGAATATTTATTTATTATTCAAACAAGTTGTGTTCAACAATTGTAGGAACAATAACTTAAAAAAAAATTTAGATAAAAAAACCTTTACCCTGACTTATTGAATCTCTATTTTACATGATTTCAGAATGTTGCTAACTTCACCATTTTCAATGAATTTAACATTTCTAGTTTCGAAAGTTCTCATATGATGGCCAGGACCCTTTAGATTTTTATGGATAACAAATGGAAAAAATTCATTGATTGTTCTTAAGTCTATTTTCTTTTTATATGGATTATAAATTCTTATTTTTACCGAGCAACCCCAAACATGCAGGTGCTGTAAATTGAGTTTTCTTCCTGTCCATAATTCAAAAGGTGTCATTTGAACTGCTTCACTAGGAACCTTATTTAATTAAT